AGAACTGCACAATAAAGTGAACTCGAATGTAATCTATGGACGTTAGCTAATAATAATGTATCAATATTGGTACATCTTACTAATGCAAAGATGTTAAAAATAGGGTAAATTGTATGTGTGTGGAAGGAAGGGAGTATATGAGAACACTCTGTACTTTCTGCTCAACTTCTATGTAAACTTTTAACTACGCAAAAAATAAAGTTTATCAACTTAAAAAACTTCTTTTATCCCAAATATTTTTTTAATTTACTGTTTCAACTATCTCTGATTCTCCCTTAAGGAAAGTTTGAGTTGAAAGTGACTTAAATTTGCTAAGTGTCAAATTTAGAATCACAAATACCAAATTTAGAACTCCAGATATGTCCTCAGCTTTTCAAAATATTTTGTTAAAATAAAACACAAATTTACAGTTTTTACTAATCAGAAATCATTGGCACATGTTCATTCAAACACGAAATTGAGTCTTGGGCAAACTTCAAGTTAACAAGATGTTCTTGTTTCCTTAAATTCTGTTCTTTCATATCATAAGGTCTTGGTTGTTCTCTCCCTGTGCCTTCTTGCTGACCTGAACTGAGTCCATAAGAAATTTATGTAATTTCCTGGTGAGCAGGAATCTTGAGCATAACTTTGAAAGGATCCCCTTCTCTTGGCCTTGTTGGGAAGAACTTTGTTGCCATCCGTCACTGACCCCTCTTGACCATCCTTAGATGCCCCAACTTGGGAATCCACTAAGGGTAACTCAAGAGTGTGATTCATTATCTTAAAAACCTTGGCCATACGTATCTGGGATGATCCACAAAGACTCTCCAGATATTTATTTAATGAGAGAAGCAAACCCAAACATAGAGCTGTGTGGTTACAAAAAGAATTTTAAACAAAGTCCTTGAGCAGTGTTTGACCCCTGTCTTCTATAAACAGCCTCCCTCCCAACCCCCGTCATTCTGCTGGTTATTCCAGGGGGCCAGAGTTATCTGTCTTGAGACACTGAAATCACACAGTACTGCACTTCCTCAAGGCAGAGAAACAGCCATGGACCTCAGGGAGTGCAGGGTCACAGGGAAATCTCATGGCAGGACTGTTGCAGGAGTCAGAATATTTACTCACTTTCAGCCCCAAAGGTAGACTTCTGGGCAGAGAAGTAGCAAAGGAAGGCTGCTGGGCCAGATGCCATGACAGGCATTGTGTTTGGCAATTTCTACAAGCCAGACCACTTAACTCTTGGAGACGGATATTAGGGTCCTTCGGTTCATAGATGGGGAGAATGATGGGCAAGGAGAAAAAGCAGCAAGTCCAACATGAAGTGGCAGGCGCTCACTCCTCCAGAGCTGGCACTAGCCAATGGTAATATAATGCAAGACACAACTGTGAGCCACATAGATAATTTAAAATTTGTTAAGAGCCACATTAAAAAATGTGAAATAAAGAGTCAAATGGAATTCATTTTAGTAATTATTTTACTTAGCCCAACATCCAAAATATTATCAACACATAATTAATATAAAACATGTTGAGAGATTTTCCCCTTATTTTCATTTTGTGGTGCAAAAACTTGGAAGTCTGGAGAGCATTTTACGCTTACAGTCTATCTCAATTTGGATGCCTAACATTTCCAGTTTTATGTGGTTCATGGCCTCATGCCCGACAGTGCCTTCTAGATCTGCTTTTATCTTTCGTTCCAGCTGCACCTCTCAAGGTCTGTTTTGTCCTAGTCCTTCACTGAACTGTACTTTAACACGATGCCCTTGACTTTCAGTGAAGAACAAACCTTATGAAATGTCACAGCCTCTACTGTGGAGGAGTTAGTTACTGTTACCCGATCATCCTCTGCTTCCCACAGCCTCACACTATTTAAACAAAATATTTTATTGTCGTCCTTTCAAAATGGTATGCATCCTTCTTTATCGTAATGAGTATTTTGTAGCTGATTCTGTGCTTTGTTTTGCTTTGGCTACCAGGAGGCTCAGGGCCAAACTGGACTCTATAACCATGGATAGATTTGTGATTGACTGGGAGAATATAATGACATGTTTTGTAAAATGTTCTGGACTTCATAAATATGCATTCTGTGTTCACAGTAAGGTTTTCTGTCCAGTTATGGACACTGTATATTTCTGTTCCCAGAAAAAAGGTACTATATACAATTTAATATGTGAGCAGTCCTGAAAGGATTGTTGGTAAGTTATGAGACATAAATTGCATGAAGAATTTTTAAAATTTTAACATACTTTTGAGCCTTTCAACAGATCTTTCTTGCTTGAAAATTCCTAAACTGTGCTTCCAAAATGTAGTAAGCCACAGAGTACTATTATCTCTTTCCTTGTGTGATATAAAGAAATAAAAAAAGGGAGAATAATATTTTTCCAGATGATAGGAAGAAGAGCTTTCCTTTCTCTATAGAACTAAATAAAGAAATTTTAATGCTTTCTCCTAACTTCTGTTATATTTACACAGTTGGTACCCTTCACTGTGTGCTATGGGGGCTCTACCAGAGAGATTACCACAGCTGGACCTGTTGTGTTCCTGATCCCCAAAGGGCATTTCCATGACACTCTAGAAGATGAGAAGAATCTGAAAGGAGACTTTCAAGTCTTTGGGATAATCCAGTGTAATTCCTTCATTTTATAGATGAGAAAATTATAGCTGCATCTCCCACACAGGAATGATAGCATTTGCAATGGCATTGTCTGCAATGTAAAAGGGAAATGCATTAACAGATCTTCAAGTGGAATGGAAGGCCATTTAGCCATCTCAGAGACAGGGGATTTTTTGGGATGCATTCTTTCATCCAGACTCCAAACTTCATTTACTTCAGCTCGTTTGATTTCTAATTTCTTGTTGGTGTCACCATTGCAACTCAAGCCTTACAGAACCTTTATTTCTGTTTAAAATGTATTATATTCTTGGTTTATCTTATCTTTGATTATTTGAACCACCATATGAAATTGAAGTGCGATTTTATATATATTAAGAGAAAGGAGAATAGGGAGAGGGAGAAAGAAAGGAAGATGCAGGGAGAGGTGTTAAACACCAAGATAAGTGACAAAAATAATAGCATGGCTACTCTTTCTGATTCTTCAGGCATGTACTAAGCTTGAGTCAAGATCATGCAGGTGGACGCAAAGATAAATAGACAAGGGTGTGTTTCTTGCTTTTGTGTCACAAAATTAAAATGTATAAAATGAAATCTTTTTGACCTCCCTTTTTCCACTTTACCACCAAATCTTTTGCTTATGCCTCCTCCATCTTAGTAAAATAGACCATTCTCTGGCTAGCTACATCAGCTACAAACCAGGAAGGGGTCCTTGATTCCAACCTCTCCCTCACCACCATTCCAGACTCATCCAATCATCATTCCTGATATGGTTTGGATGGGTGTCCCCACCAAACCTCACACTGAAATGTGATCTCCAGTGTTGGAGGTTGGGCCTGGTGGGAGATGTTGGATCATGGGGGTGAATTTCTTATCGATGGCTTGTTGCCATCCCCTCAGTGAGGAATGGGTACTTGCTCTGTTAATTCATGTGAGAGCTGGTTGTTTGGAAGGAACCTGGCACCTCCTCCTCCTTCCTGGCTCCCTCTCACTAAGTGATACGCCTGCTTCCTCTTCACCTTTGGCCATGATTGGAAGCTCCCTGAGTCCTCATTGGAAGCCAAGCAGATTCTGGTGCCATGCTTGTACAGCCTGCAGAAATGTGAGCCAAAATAAACCTCTTGTCTTTATAAATGACTCAGCCTCACATATTCCTTTACAGTGATACAAAACAGACTGACATAATTCCTGAGTTTCTATCTTTGAAACACAGCTCATCTGTCTCCATTTCTCTCCATCTGTACTGCCACCATGATGGGTTGACGTCCGTAACTCCAACACTTTCAATGACTTAGTGTCACATTCCCTCTTCTATTATCCATTCCTCACAAAGCAGTGAGCATGATTATGTTACCCCCTGGTCAAAGTCTTGCAATGCAGTTTGAATGAGATGCAAATCCCTTAAGGTGACCTATGAGACTCAGCCCCTTCTCACCTCTGCAGCCTCCTGTGAATCTACTCTCCTCTTCAGCAGCAGAACTCCAGTAGCACTGGCACCTTTCATCCCCTCTGTTTCGCTGTCTGTAATTAACTTTTCTATGTTTCCATATAAACAGTGCGATGTGATCTGAATGTGCAGGTTAGTTTCCATCTACATTCTAGAGGCAGCTAGGCTATATTTAAATTGCCCTGATAAAGAATCTATGCTTCAAAAATGGCCTCAGCATGTACTTTAAATATCAATTTCTGAATATGCTTTAGAAGGTATATTAATTAGTATAAGTAATGTTACAAATAACTTCTCATTGATGAAATAAAAGATAGATAGCTGAAAGTTTGTATAACCCCTCTGCCTTTGCATAAAGTATAAGAACCTGGCAAGCACAGCAATCCAGAACTTTCTGAGTGGTGTCCTTGGCCTACAACTCCATTTGGCCATGCGTACCTTTGCTTAGCAGAAAACACTGACAATAAATCTTGGTGTTGGAATATTTTTACCTCACAGTTCACATTTCAGGCAAGGTACTTGTGGGGTGGCCCAAAGGACAGAGCAGGTGGTAGGACTGTCTTTCTGTAGGATCACTGATAAATGTCTGGGCATCTAGTGGAATTTGATCTGAGGCTTCCTTCCATTGCAATATGCCACCTCGCAGGTGGTTATAGAAGAATAGCCATATGCCTAACTTCCTCTGATTAGGTAAAGAATGGGATAACTGGCTGGGTGCAGTGGCTCACGACTGTAATCCCAGCACTTTGGGAGGCCAAGATGGGCAAATCATGAGGCTAGGAGTTCAATACCAGCCCAGCCAGCATGGTGAAACCCTGTCTCTACTAACAGTACAAAAAATTAGCCAGGCATGGTGGTACATACCTGTAGTTCCAGCTACTCAGGAGGCTGAAGCAGGAGAATCACTTGAACCCAGGAGGCAAGGCAGATGTTGCAGTGAGCTGAGATCATGCCACTGCACTCCAGCCTGGGCAACAGAGTTAGACTTTGTCTCTGAAAAAGAAAAAAAAAAAAAAAAGAATGGGATAGGTATACAGCCAGATTGACCTTAGGTGAGGCCTTGCACTCCCAAAGAGGCAGAGCTCTTTAACATCTCAGGAACGTTCTGTTGCAATTCCCTCCACCTGGAATATTCTCCCCCGTGATAGTCACCTTCTGATTTAGCCAATGTCAACTTAAATTGCAGCTTCTTAGAGTGGTGCTTGGTGACCACTCTTTCTAAGTGGGTGTCCCGTGTGTCAGCTGCTCACCTGATTGCTCTTGGATCCGTCTCTGTTCCTCTGTTCTGCTCTGAATCACAGGGAACTGGTTCTGGATGGATTTGGTCAAGGGGAGGCACTGTTAGAAAACTGGAGAGTGGGAGAAGGGGAGAAGCCAGAGCCCTTTGCTCTGTTGTGCTGTCTTTGTTGGCATCTCCAGTAGACAAGCCCTTTTTCCAGTCGTCACTGCCATGGAGCAGCACCCCTTCTTCGACCTAGCTTCCAGATAGTCTAGGTGTCTGAGCTCTAGTAGTGCCCCCTCTTCTCATTTCCTCTCCATTTTTGGGAGCAATAATGGGCTTCTCATGTTGCCAATCTCTGGTCTCATTATCTTCTATTCTTTCCATCATGTGTACAACCAATTCCTTATGTTAATCTCCTCTAAGACCTGGATGGTTTCCGTTTTCTTAATATACCCTATTATAGTAGATTATATCACCCTGCTTTGTTTTTTCTCCATAGCTATTTGATAAATTATAATTACTTGTTTATTTGTTTACTAACACCTTGTCTATTTCCTGCCTCAGATGACAGTCTCCATGAGAAAAGAGTCTAGCTATTTTTGGTCAGCCATTACATCTGTCATGCCCCAGGTGTTCCATAATAATGTATTAAAAGAACAAACAAACCTAGTGCCTGAATCTTTTAATCTTGGATCCATGAACAACTCAAAGCTTCTGTAGGTGAACTTGGGGAGAGAAATAAACCTTTTCAAGATATCAATGTGTGCATGAATTTGTGTATGAATACTTATCTCCTCATTGGCAAGAGTCCATAGCTTTCAGTAGAGTCCCAACCTATCAAAAGACCTTTGAAAGTTAAGAGACAGTGCATCTAGTGGGGGAGATGCCCACATGCATAACTGTTACTAACATGTTATGATATTAACATTAATAAAAATACTTGGGAGCACAGATTAAGAAATGACTTTCTCATTTCAGTTGTTAAAGCCAAAAACTTGTGAGTCATCCCTGACACCTCTTATTCTTCACATCTAATTCATCAGCAAGTATATCAGATGGCTCTACCATCAAAGCACTTCCAGAGTCCAACCTCTATTATCCCCCTCCTGGTCTAAGTCACCATTATCTTTTTCTATCTAAGTGTGGAGGGATGAAGAAGACTCTACTCTGGCTGCCTCAGCTCTTTCCCTTCTAGTTATAGTTTGTTCTCAACACTGCAGCTCAAAGTCCAACATGAGCCAGATCATGCTGCTCATTTGCTCAAAACTCACCAATGGCTCCCATTTCCCATAGAGGTAAAGTCAGAGTTCTCCCAAAGCTCTCTGTGATCCTGCCTGTCCCCTCTGGCCCAGCCAACCTGTCTTGTTGCTGCTTCTTGGCCAAGCCACACCCTCCCACCTGAGGGCTTTTGCTCTGGCTGATCACTCTGCTGGCATGCTCTTGTTTCACACAGCCTCTCCTTTGTTCCTTCAGCTTTTTCTGGTCTCTGCCCATATGACAAATATTGCCCCTGCTCCCCCTTCTCTTTCCTATGCACCCTGCAGTATTTTTAGTCATAGCGTGAACCACCATCCAACACACTGTAGATTTACTTATTTATTTGTTTATTGTCTGTCCCCCTCTCCTAGAACATGAGCTCCAGCAGGCCCAGCACTTTGTTAGCTTCAAGCCTGGAACAGCACCTGGTGCAAAGTAGGTTCTCAGTACATATTCACTGAGTGACTCTGATGGAGATAGCTACCACTGAGGACATTGAACAGTAAGTGAGGTTTGGAGATGCAAAGAAGGATAAGTGATAGTGAGGAGAAGGGCAAGTGGCAAGTACTCGTCAAGGCTGGACTGGGATGGAGTCTTTGCCTCCTGAATATGTTTCAGTTTCAGAATTTTAGGTTCACCCATCACCTATTTCCCCTTCCCAAGGGTGCGCCCTGCATTAGTCCATAGCTAGATAGAGATTCTACCTCACCTACAGAATTGGCTCCACCATTATTTCTTTGTATTTAGTCCATGGGTGTAAGAGGCTGAGTTCAACTGCTGGGTTAAAGGAATTCAGACTAGGGAGCTGGGTTAGCTGTTGCTCTTCCGGGGTGAGTTCTTGATATACAAGACAAATAATGCAACAGGTGACTGGGTTGGGGGCAGAGTAGAAATTCATGGTGGGAAGTAGAGTAAGCTTAAAAAGAAAACAAAACTGTGTGTGTGTCTATGTGTGTCTGTGTGTGTTTTGAGTGAGTGTGTGTGCGTGTGTGAGAGAGAGAGAGAGATTGAGAGAGAAAGGCAGAGAGAGAGCCAAGCATAACAAATACTTACCAAGAAGTTCCAGGTCATCCAATAACTCTTTTTCAGCCTCTCCCATCTGTCATCCTGAAATGCTGGTGAGATTGACTTCAAGGAACACAGTCAACTTTTGTTTTTGGAGACTGCAGGGTAAATATTGAAGATTTGGAACTGTTTGGCTCAAGACTTCAAAGCCTTGAATAAAGCTGCTGGATGGTTTGGAAGCCACCTGGCCGGAAATTTAACTTTTGCAGTTTGGGGTACTTTTTTCCCCTTCCTATCCTTTAATTCCTCTTTCCCTCCCTCCCTCCCTCCCTCCCTCCACCTCAACACCAAATTAGCAATTTGGATGCCATAAATGTAGTGTAGACCTGGGTACCAGCCAAGGTCACTGAGGCTCAGTGTATAAGAAGTGAATGCCAGCTGTATTTCAGACAGGATTTCCAAGGCTGGAGAGGCAGAAGGAGGAACGATCTGAGTTTCCTGATTCTGGCTTTTCCTCCCTCTTCTACACACACATATACACACACAGTACTCTTTTTTACTTTTAATTTCCTGTTTCCATTCCGGCTCTCTCGTATCTGGATTCAGGCCTCCTCTCTGGTCCCCCTACTGATGGATGCACTAACTCAACATATATGAAAGTAAAATTAGAGAACAGTCCATTTGGAAACAAACCAATAATAATAATAATGCATGGACCAGAGTGAACTCCAGAACTTAATAAAGGCTTTTGAAACCTAAATTCACACTCTGGAGCAGGTCAAGGAGTAGGAACTAATAAATGTAAGAAACTGAGAGAATGAACTCAATCAAATATATCATGACTCTATTTATCAGAAATTAAATAAGCATGACTCTAATTTGTGAGTTTGCTAATTATTGTCTGTGTTTTCAGTATTAAAACTAAGATCAAGACGTTTCTTGTATATAACAGGAAACTATATCCAGCTATCTACATATCAATAACTGTATCTGTGTCTGTATCTACAGCTATCTATACCTGTATCCGTATCTAGTGATCTGCTTACCTGTGTAGATCTAGATGTATTATAATGTCTCAGCATTTGCATTATGTGGTCAGTGCACAGCCCACATGCATGCATGTTGGTGCAGTTCACAGTCAGGCTCAATTTCTGATTTTGAAACACTAAAGTTTCTTTATGGTGCAGAACATTGTACCACAGTACTCCAAAACTTTACCCCCATAAAAAACCTACCCAAATAGGAAAACTAAAATAAAAGCAAAGGACAGGCTGTAGCTATGCATTTGATTTAGTTTGATGGAACCCCTCCTTGTATGTTATTATAAACATTGTATTTGATTTAGGGTGATATACAAAGGGGGTTCATATACCTGGGCCCTTTTAAAACCCTAAAACAATCTCTATTTAAATAGTGGATTTATAAATGTGTATCCTTCACTCATCAAGCATGTTTGAGCATCTGCTATGTGCCAGAATGGTATCAAAACTCTGAGGATATAAAGTCAAAGGAATATAGTCTTTGCCTCAAAGAGTTCAGAGTGCCATCAGGACTTGGCTGATAGAAGTTGAAGGTGGCAGGTGCTGGGATACAGGTAGTAGGCACAGGGTACAGGGGAACCTGCAGGAAGTGGACTTGACTTCCCAGACGCTCTCTGGTGAAGGTACCTCTCCTGGAGAGGGTAACAGTGCTTTGGAAGATTCATCGGAGTTAGCCAGATAGAAGGAATGTGGTGCTCAGTCTGCATGTGTTCAGGGAGCTGTGTGTTCAGACACAGTCACCCTGGAAAGCCTTGTGCCACTGTGGTTCCCTGTCTGGAGCCTCCAGGGCAAGGGTGTGGGAAGCAGCCAGGCTGATGAGATCGTGAGTGAGAAACAGGATCTCGAAGGGTTAAAAATATCTCCAGGTAATTTGCAAACTAAAGATTACTATGCTCATGTTGGCATTTTGTAAATATTTTTCTTATCTGACTCCAGCCTATGATCAGGTCCTTGAGAATGGATCTACTTTCTATTAGTTGAAAAACAGTTCCCAGGGGAAAGACTTACTAAGTTAGATTATGTCAAATATGAAGCACCAATTAAAAGCATAACACAGAGCAAACAGAAGTGTTGAGTACAATGTATGCCAACTTTCAAAAATATTGCCAATGTTGTTACCACTGGATACCTATTGGTTTTGTGAGGTTGGTAAACTTTTAACGACTGGCAGGTTTTAAAAACCTTTGGCAATGTAACGCTAAGAGATGCTGTCTTTGAGGACTTTCAGATGAACACCGGAGTGGAGGGTTCCTTTGGCTCTGCTTCTTGGAGGAATTGTCAGGTGAAAAGAGAGGAAGAAACTTCTGGAACATCTCAAAAGGGGACAGAGAACCTTATTTGATTCAGTCTCTAGGCTTGACTTGAGGCAGAGAGGAGGTCTCTAGAGTCAGCCAGCCATGGGGGGAATGCCAGCTCTTGCTTAGCTTGCTGGCTAAGAACATTTCTCCATGCCTCACCCTCAGATACTCACTGCAACCTACCACCTGGGGCTATTGTGAGAATTAAATGTAAGTTAATGTGTATCCAGTGGTTAGATTCCTGCTTGTACCTACTGGATTCTTCATAAATGTTGACTATTATCATACTGTGTGATTTTCATTATAAATTAACTGAAGCACCTGGTACATAACTAGATGCAGTAAATATTCATTTCCTTTCTCATTCAATACTGAGAAAATAGACATGGGGTGAGAGGTATGATGGAAAGAATGTAGTTCAGGAGACAGGGGCTTGATTCAGATGGCCTGCTGATGATCCACTCAGCTCGGAATCTTTGGCCCTCCAAGCCAGGGGTCTGCCTCGGTGTGTGACTCTTTGGCTATTACTGTGCTGAGACCCCCTGCCCTGTGCATGGAAATGCACAACCAAACCTTGCATCTCAGAAAACTGTGTCCTCTCCGAGGCCAGGAAACTGCTCTGTCCACCCTATTTTCCAGGGGTCTCAAAAAATAATCTTCCTCAGTTCAAATGCATTTGCATGTCCTCCAGGTCTGACTGAGGCTAGAGGGGATTTCGTGTAATCCCTGGCTTGCTTATTTCCTCTGATTTGAAACATTCTTTCTTTCTCTCTCTCTCTTTCTCCACCCCCCCCCCCCCCAACCTCTTCCTTTCTCTTTCCCTCTCTTGATTCTTACCAGGGTCCCAAGAGGTGAAAAGTCCACTTTAGTAGGTGCCAGGTTCAGGAATTCTCACAGTCTTCTTAGGCTCCAAGGAGCCTTGAGAGTTCTCTGTCAGTACAATGGCCTGATTGTGTCACCCTGTCGCAGTCCACAGCAGGCTAGCTAAAAGCTCATCTGAAACAACCGCCTCCAACCTTAAATCCAAATACCACAGCTGCACTTCTGGAACCAGGTTTGTTTTCTCAGAATATCAGTTACAGCATTTTAAAAATGAGCAACCTCATTATCAACAGTGTTTCTGAGAAGCAAGCATTCTTGTAGAAAATGCCAGCTCTGTAAGGCTGGCAGGAGCTGCATGGCACACACATTCTCTTGCCCGCCACCCCCAGCCTTAGGCATCACCTGGCCAAACCCAAGAGTGCAGTTGAGTGAAAATGAATACCAGGACTTCATTCCTATAAAGGAGCTAGACTCCTGGGTGCCGGAAGAAGGGAGTGAGCTCTCCTTCCTTAGAGGTCCAGGAGAACAGGAGAGAAGCTTGTTTCTGTAAGGAGCCGGCCTCACTTTACCAGAGGGAATCTCGAATTTGAACCTGGGTTTTATTTTCCAGCTTTGGTATCTACTAGTTGTGTAATCTTCAGCAAATTTTGAAGTTTTCCCAGCCTCAGTTTTTTAAATCTGTGAAATGGTGGTAGTTACTGTAAGATCAAATGAAATTATACACAGGAAAAAGACTTGCAAATTAGAATGCCTCCAGATTTAAAAAGAAGTAACTTATTCCTCTTAACTTGATCTCTCCTTGTTTTATAGGTACGTGTGTGTGTGTGTGTGTGTGTGTGTGTGTGTGTGTATGTGTGTGTGCCTGAACTAATCAGGCTGCTCCAACAGGAGACCATTGACTGGTTAGCTTAAGCAATAGACATGTGTTTCTCACAGCTCTGTAAGATGGAAGTCTGGGATCAAGGTATCAGCTTAGTCAGGTTCTGGTGAAGGCCCCTTCCTGGCTATGTCCTGATATAGCTGACAGCAGAGATAAAATAAACAAGCTGTCTCCCATCTCTTAGAAGGACACTAATCCCATCATGAGCACTCCATTCTCACGACCTAATTACCTCTCAGAAGCCCTATCTCCAAACACCATCACGTTGGGGATCAGGGTGATCATAGAGCAATATGTAGATTGTCTCTCATCAATTAAATTGCAAACCCTTAAGAGTTTTGGAGGGCAAAAATTAATTTGAAATAAGTTCAAAATGCTGCTCTTGACACAATGTAAAGCACAGAGCAGACATACAAGTATGGAGGAACGATTAAATATTATTTGTTATCTATTTAAGAATGTGGGAAACGATGTAATGTATTTTTTTAAGAAAAATCCAAGTATACTTACATCTACACACAGATATAGACGTATTATGTGTATGTGTGTATGTCTCTTTATCTGCAAAGTGTAAATATCTCTTTGCAGAAGACTCAGCTCTCAAGGATATTTTGTGTTTGAGGCAGCTTAGTGGCTTATGGAGGGCATGGAATCTGCACTGAGATACTTTCATTCAAGAGTCCTGCTCCTTATTGGTACTGACTTGATGCAAATTACCTAACCTCTCTAAGCTTTGAATGCCATATCTGTAAATTGAGTCAATGCCTCCCTCACCAGGTTGTGGTGAGGATGGAAAGAGATAGCGTATGCAAGACATATGTCATCATGCCTGCTCCTTTTACTCACACAATACAAGGCTGTCATTTTACCAATATAATAAATGTGGGAAGAGGAGGGAAGAGAGTGACAGTTATGTGGTATGGATGGCTCAAGCAACAGGCATCCAGAGGTGAGAGATAATGCACTTTGAAGGTCCCTCTAAGAACATATTCCAGGCTAGGTGCAGTGGCTCATGCCTGTAATCCCAGCACTTTGGGAGGCTGAGGCAGGAGAATCATGAGGTCGGAAGTTTGAGACCAGCCTGACCAACATGGTGAAACCCTGTCTCTACTAATAGTGCAAAAGTTAGCCAGGCGTGGTGGCAGGTGCCTGTAATCTCAGCTACCTGGGGGGCTGAGGCAGGAGAATCACTTGAACCCAGGAGGTGGAGGTTGAAGTGAGCTAAGACTGTGCCATTGCTCTCCAGCCTAGGTGGCAGAGAGAGACTCCGTCTAAAAAAAAAAAAAAAAAAAAAAAGAATATAACCCAGCTTTATGCAGAAATAAGCCCAAGGGAACAGAGGGACAAATTAGAGTTTCAACGCTGCGTATATTCTAGTGAAAAAACAATGGTCCACCAGGGTTGACCTTTTAGGAGACACTTTAAGAGTCTGTCTAAGGAAACAATTGAGATTCTGACTTATGGTCTCTGGGCAAGTCAGGAAGTAGGAAGTGGGAAATGGGAAACACATAATAAACATCTCTTTCTCCATTCTTTTCTTAGGAAATAACACCATCTACATGCTGATGACTGCCAAATTATGCCAAATGTATATCTCCACCCTGAACATGTCTCCAAAACTTTAGGCTTATAAATGCAGCTGCCTAATCTATATTTCCTGTATTGTATATCTATTATATACATATACACACACATCTCAGCTTAAAAGTGCAAAAGTTAGTTTTTGGTCTTTTTCCATGTCTTCCTTTATAACTTTCTCTTACTATTTCTTAGATTTCAAGACTGATTCCATGCGTTTCAGCACCACTTTTTTTCCCCTTAAGTAAGCAATAATAGCGCACTGCATTAGGCTTGAGGGGCTGTTCTAAGTCCTGGGAAGGTAGAATAAAATAAGAGATTATCACTGCCCTCAAAGGGCTCACTAAGTAGTAGGGGAAGCAGCATGTTGTCCTGAAAGTCTCAGTGCTGTAATGCTGTAGAACAGAAAAGGGAGAGCAATGTCTCTGTGGAGTGATACTGAGGCGATGACATTTTTAGCTGCTTCCTGGAGGATGATAAGGAGGTTACTATTTGATGAGTATTGTAGCATTCTTGTCCCCAGTTAGTTAATCTCCATGTATTTGAGATAATTATACACACACATCCCATCGATCAGCTTTTGCCATATGACTTGCATTTGCCAATGGAAAGTGAGCAAAAATTATGTAGGCTACCCCTGAACAGAAACTTTCAAAAACATCATCAGGTTACATAGCTCATTTCCTTCTTTTGCAAGGGTCGTGTGTTCCAGGGAGGGATTTGTCCTCCAGCCTGGATCTCAAAATGAGAAGACCCAACAACCAGGACTGAGGAGAAGGGAATAGGTAGCCCCAGGAACTTCAGTCTATTGCGCCGCTATGAGTGTGCCTCAGTTGAAATCCGTGTGTTAGTTTCTCTTCCACCGAGAAGAGAGTGGAAGTGATGTCTGTGTTTATGCATAATCAGACATATATGAATAAAGAGAACACTTTGCTTCCCCAAATCTCTCTTAAGGCTTTGGAAAACCATTCTATTTGGAGGGTAAGATCCCAACAAAAAGTTCAGGCCCTAAAAGATGGTTTCTAGACTCTTGCTATAACAATAGAAATGGGATTTGCTTTGCTCCTTGGAGAGAGAAGGATGCAGAGATAAAAAGAGCTTTTCAACATCCAAGTCTTCAGTAGCATGAACTAAAAATAAAATGCTGGGAATGAGAATATTTTTTGCTAAGAAACTGTGAAGTGGTGACATTTCAAGTTTGGTTTGGTGTGGAGTGCAACAAGTAGTACACAGCCAGAGGTGAGTGAGGGGCAAAGACCATGAATATGTGAGCCCCAACACAGTGACAGGTGTTACACGGGGAGCTTGGGGCTTTGTGGGGAGTTTAAATCAACTTTACCTATATATGATTAGCACAAGCCCAGATCCGGGGAACCTGGGCCCAGCACCTCAGAGAGCTTCTTTCTGGCTGAGGGGTTAGGAGTGTTCTCAGTCTGTGGGTGTGTGCATCTGGAACTCATGCCCTGCCGGATTCATGGGACACTGGAATTCCCTGTCCACGTGGTTCCAGTCTGGCTTCCTAAGCCTGCACAGGACTCTCACCTGGGTTCTTCCTTTGGATGGTGGACCACTCCACCAAGGAGCTTTGTTTGTGGGGATGCGGATAGAAATTGAGTGTCTGGACCCTCAGATGTCCACATTCCTACATGTGAGCTGCTCCTGGTGCTGATAGAGTGAGATGGGAAGAGAAAGAGGCTTGACCAGCAACCCCCATTGGCACCATACCCCAGTCCCTGAAATCTTAGAGGAAGGGCAGGGAGGCCCCGGCTGACATCTTCTGTAGTACGATTTGAAGACAAGGCCCTGCCCATAATACAGGGGATGCTTTGGGCAAGCCTACCCTGAGAATTAACCATGGGCCTCTCCCTTCAATGGCACAGTAATGAGGCAGCAAGAAAAATCCGGTTGCAATTTTAATGTCCAAAAGCTTACCCATCCGCATCAGAATCCTGTAAGAAAAATATGCCATGTGTGGCCCCTGTAAAGTGAAATAGGCAAGCCTTGGTCCTCCCACAGGGCAGTGATTTCTCCACCTGGAATGCTAGCAATGTCTTCTTGGAAAGTTTATAGAGCTTATATCCTGCCTGTTCACCTTTAATAAAGAAATGTTAAATATTATAAAATAAACTTTACTGGGGCAGGAATACATATCCTCCAAGTCTTTTGCTTCTTTAAACATCCTGAGGGCTATAAAATGCCCCAGTTGGACTGGCTGCTGTGCCAGGGATGTGCCTGGCTCACTTGGTTTCGGGGGCTCTCCCCAGTTTGTGTGGCTATACCCGGGGCAAGCGGAAGGTTCCAGGCATCACTGATGGATTATTTGTCTTTGTCGTCCAGCTACATTCTTCCTGCTGTTTGACTGGGTAAACTCAAAGCTTGCTTTTTCCTGTGCCACTTTTCTTCGTCTGATTATAGTTAAACTTCCCGTCATGTACCTGACATGTATATGGTGTGTGTCGCCACTGTCCCTCACCCTTCCTGCCTAGGAGTCCTTTCATGGACAGCCGAGAGGAAGGAATGCTGAACTTGGAATTAGGCCACCAGGCTGCACATCCAAGTCCCTTTGCTTACTGAGTCATGTTGGGCAAATCAATTAAAAATTCTTCTTTGCCGGGCGCGGTGGCTCAAGCCTGTAATCCCAGCACTTTGGGAGGCCGAGGCGGGTGGATCACGAGGTCAAGAGATCGAGACCATCCTGGTCAACATGGTGAAACCCCGTCTCTACTCAAAA